ATAAATGTAAGGCGTAACTAAATAAAGAGAAATACCCAAATTAAGCCTTAGAAACTTAAGCGCAAAACAACTTAAGTGATAAGGTCCATATCGATAACCCAAAAATGATCCATGATGGTTAGGCTTTCTCTGGATCGGGCAGAAGGCTTTAGAGTAGACCCAAGTTGGATTGTGAGCCGGTTTGGCTAAGTCGAGGTTCACAACTCATTTTTTCTCTATCAAAACTACATCATTTGATGCCTTTCCTATTACTTTAAAATTCAAAATTTTCCTATCTCTTCATTTTATCAATGCATTTTCTCTCACTACATTGAAAGCTTATCTCTAAAAACAAACTTAAAAAATTAGCAACATCAAACCCAGTTATCGACAATCGACCGTCGCTCTCATCGCCACTGGCTGTTACTTACCGATGATAAAAAATAACCTAAAAACCACCTTAAACTCTTTTTAGGCTCCTGATCTTAGCTTTGACTTTCATTTTTCGTAAATCTCGCTAGATTTTCCTTGATTTGAGTTCAAAATTTGAGACTTTTAAACCATCGAAAAACATCATCCTATCGTTCAATCTAGATGCATTTTTAGTATATTGTCACCTTCCCTCTCCCCTTCCTCTCCATCATTTTTTATTACCATCGTGGCTTCCCCTTTCATCACCATTCCTGTTTTTTTTTTTTTGCTACAGGGTTTCTCATTCAGTGAGGATTGTGATTTTTTTCTCTTTTTTTGTGTAATTTTTTATTTTTTTGAAAAGAGAAAAAATAGGTCTTCTTTTGTGCCTTTTTTTCATTTTTATGGTTTTTTTTAGGTAGCTTGGAAAAGGTTTTGATCGATAGAGGTGGGGAATATTTTTGGTTTTTCTGAGGGGTACTCCTAGGATTTTTAAGGGTGCTAAAGGGGTGTATTATGAGTGAAGCTTTTGGTGATGGGGAGTTATGAAGAATGGGAATGATTGGGTCAGTTGTGAAGGGGTGTCGAATAGGTGTTTACTAAAAGTGTTTTTTTTTTTTTTACTGTTTATGGCACTATGTTGGTGGTTTGGTTAGGTCACGGGGGTGGTGATGAAAGATAGGAGCTGTTACTGTTACGAGCAAGGGTTGGGTTGGCGTAGGTGGTGTCTTGCCTGTGGTGGCGTTGTTGGTGATGAGGTGGGTGATTTGACTTGGGACTTGGGACTTGGTGCCTATTGGTGGTGAAAGAGGAAAAATTTTTATTTTAGGGTGCTAGGTAAATCCCCTAGGGCTTGAGGAAGGAATATTGGGTTTTTGTCGGGGCTTTTTCTCTAAGGGCTAAAGCTGGGGCTGTTTGGAGGGGAAATGGTGCTTGGTTTTTTTTAGTAAGGGCTCTTGTTTTTAGGTTTTAGGGCTTAGATTTTTCTGGGAAGGGTTGGAGTAGGGTTTAAGTGGCTTAAGGGTTTGTTATAGAAGGGTTGGCAGGGGTCCTTTATGCTTGGTTCAGAGGTTGGTGAAATGAATGTTAGAACCCCCATTTTCAAATAGTGCTTATCAATTTTTATCTTGATTGGGATTGCAACAATCCAAGTTTAACCGCTTTTCAGAGTTGAAGGGTAGTGGCCAACAAATTGCTATGGCCAAATAGAATTGGTAATGGCTGTCGATCACTTCTTCCTATATTTTTTTCTACCCATTATTTGTTTCTTTTTTTTATTTAAAATAAAATAATAATAATAATAATAATAATAATAATAATAATAATAATAATAATAATAATGAAATTGAGCTTAAAACTTAATTTGGGCCAAGCTTAAAGTTTGGCCTTAAAAAAATCAATTTAGACTCTTATTGGACTTTCCAGTCGAAGTGATTGAATTTTAACCAAAGACTGAACCAAATTGGACTTTAGGACTCGAACTTTAAATCGAACTAGATTTTAATTCATATAAAATGATTCAAGAATAATTAATCTAAGATAAACTTGAAACACGTTAATTCAACTATTGTGCTCAGATTAGTCCAAATTAAATTAGTTGAATCGAACATAAAAATCAAACAAAGTTGAATGACCCAAACAAAATTAGGTTGAACTTCAAATTATGCAAATCAATTCGAAAACGATTAATCCGGGACAAACCTGAATGAGCTTAATTTAATTAAATCAAATTAAGTTAGCTCAAATTGAAATGTTAAAATCAAATTTAAAACTCGAACAAATTCGAGTCGATTCAAACAAAATTGGGTGTCTATAAAGGAGATTATTTGTTATGCTTGAAAATACTTCATCGTTGGATTATTAGTATTTAAAAAAACTTTATTTATGAAAAATGTAAATTTTTTGTGGAAATCTTGATATTGAAAATCTTTTATAAATTCTCTGATATATTGGTAAAATTTACAAAAAAAAAAAAACTTCTCACCTACGAATTTACATAAAAATTGGTATTTGTAACATTATTTGTAATTGCATCATCGAAAATTCAAAATCAATTTTATCAAAACCCACACCCATTTATTTATACATTTATAGAAATATCTTCTAATATATTAGTATAATTTTTTATCAAAAAATATCATCAAATATGTTAGTAAGATTCATGAAAATTATTTTTTTTCTTTTGAAACTTATATTTTTGTCAAAAATTAATAAGATTTTCCAATATGTTAATAAAACCTTAGTTTCAGATTTTTAAAAACCATAAACCCTTCAATATAAGGTTTTATTTATTTAAAATTCATTTTCAAAATTTCAATTTTTGCAAATCCATTTTATTTCTTTTCAAAATCATTTTTCTAAAAATAATCCTTTTTTTAATAAGTAAAATTACAAGAAAACAAAATAAATTAAATTAAATACCTAATTTCTTGTTCAGCTTGACTTCAAGAGATGGCTCAATGATTTGAATTGCAGCTCAACTTGATTGACTCAATAAGGAATCAAATTCTAAAAAATGGGTCAGGTGCACTATGGGTTGGATCGACACACAAGATAGTATATGAGTCAACAATAGACTAACACCTTTAAAACGTTGTCGTTTTTGGCTTGGTATAAAAGTCAATTTCTTTTCTTATTCTTCAAATTTTCTTTCTCCCTCTCTCTTCTGTCTCTCTCTTGAACTCTCTCCCCTCTCTTTTTCTTTTCTAGATTCTGTCCATCAAAATCTTCAAAAGTCGTAAAACAATTAATCAAATTCTGGGTTTTTCCATAAGAAACCTATCAAAAGCTGAGTTTTTCGTTGGAAAAGTCATTGAAAACTGGGTTTTTTTTTAAATAATTTAGAAAAAAAAAACTAACATATTTTGATCCCCTTTCTTTTTCCTTAAACCCTAATCGTTCGGACATTCTCTCGAATCAAACCTAAGCTCCAATAAAATTCTCAATCAAACTCTAAAAAATTCACTATCACAAAAAAAAAAATTTCCTTCACTGCTTATTGCTTTTGAGCTTCTATGTAATTGTTAGTTTTTTTTTAGTATTGAATGCTATTCTATTTATAGGAGACATTACTCTGACTTGTTAAGTATTCTAAATTGCATAGGATTAAACTCTTGAAAATTATAACTTATCACCAAAAATTAATAATCCCTAAAGGAATTAGAACTTATATCCAAAATCCCTTCTCAATTTTAACTTTAAAAACATGAATTACCACCTAAAGATAAAATCTCTTTTATTTCCCAAACCCTATTTCCCAAACTCAATCACCTGAACCTCTTTCACCATTTTGTGATTTTCAAAATTTTCTTTTTTTTAACATTACTTTTTATCATAAAAGAGATAAATCAATAACTAAAGATAAATCAGTAAAGATAAATAATAAAGATAAATGAAATAAGAGTAAAAAATAAATAAATAGCAAAAAAAAGTAAAGATAAAGAAAAAAATAAAATAAAAAGTAAATAAAGGTAAATAAGCTAAAATTATAAATTAAATAATAAAGATAAATAAGTGAAATAACAATAAAAAATAAAAAATTAAGCAACTAAGCTTTGACTTATATCAAACTCAACTACTTTAGAGCTCAAACTAAATTGGATGTTTACATTTTCTTAAATAATAAATAAATTCCTGAGTTTATAGGCGTTATGAAAATGGTTTTCTGTTTTTGATTAAAAACTTTTGTGGTCATTTTTATATTTTTTTCGGTAATGGAAATATTAGTCTCAAGATACTTGAGTAATAATTCATTCATTAAATGGTATGCTTGAGTAGACATTCTGACGATTAAAACTGGAGTATTCAGTATTCATTTTGGAAAATTTTTTGAATTCTTATATGAATGTCGTGTGTACCCAAAGATTCAGACAATATGGTAAATTAAAAATTTTTGCTATATTTAAAAATACAATCTTTTGATCAATTTTCAAGTTAATACTAAAAAGAGAATAAATGGAGATAATTTATTTAATTCAAAAAAGATAAATTTTTCTACAATGCTTATCTATGAAAATACTTGATATTCAAGTGTCTGCGTGTAGGGATTCTCTTAAGATTACTTGAGGCAGAAGCTTGAAACTGATGCTGGTTTTTCTAACAACACCCGTTGTACATGCACGCATGTATCCAGTTTTGCATCTCTGAGTACCCATTTTGGTACTTTAAAGCAATAAGTTTGCCGAAGTTTGCCATCCAATCACATCTTTCTACGGTTTCTCACCCTCGAAATGCCTTGGAAGCCCTAGCACATAATCATAGAGTATTAGCCAGCTGACGCGTTTAATATTCATTGGCAACGGAGAAAAGTCAAGGTTACTGTTTTTTGTAATTGTAAAAGTCTAAGAGGAAAATAATTACTGGTACCAGTTTACTATTTCTTCACGATTTGCCCTTTTTCTTTTTGGGGTTAGTGCATTAATTTACTGTTGGATTGAAACTTTTTGTATGGATGTGTGGGTTACACCACCTTCATTTGGCCTATATATATCTCCTTGATTTCAATTCATTTGCTACACAAAATTAGAATTTTAATAGTGGTATTATATTGTTCTTCATCAATATTCCCTTTTTCCAGTCTTCACAATAGTATTGCTTTATTACCTGTCAAAGCTAGCCGTGCCTGAAGCTTCCAAAATCTTATCCAAGTATGCATTGCATTGATGGGGTTGGTGGCATCATGGAGGGAAGAAACAAGGCATTAAAATTTATTGAAGACGTTACTATTAATGCTGAAGAAGTGCAGAAGCGAGTTCTATCCGAAATTCTCTCTCGTAGCGCCAATGCCGAGTACCTGCAAAGAAATGGCCTTAACGGATGTACAGATAGAGAAACATTTAAGAAGGTGATGCCTGTTGTTTCATATGAAGATTTAAAGCCAGATATTGAGCGTATTGCCAATGGTGATACTTCAGCAATTCTCTGCTCCCAACCCATATCAGAGTTCCTGACAAGGTAAGTCCATGATGCAATTTCATCGTTTTTTTCTATAAAATTTTATGTATTTGAGAATGATAATGTTGCACGGGAGTGTTTTAATGTTAGCTCTGGTACATCTGCTGGAGAACGGAAATTGATGCCAACGATAGAAGAGGAGCTGGGGAGGAGATCGCTGCTTTATAGCCTGTTGATGCCTGTGATGAGCCAATTTGTTCCGGGGTCGGACAAAGGGAAAGGAATGTACTTTTTGTTTATAAAATCAGAAGCTAAGACCCAGGGAGGACTCGTGGCTCGTCCCGTCTTAACCAGCTATTACAAAAGCTCACATTTTAAGGACAGGCGTAGCGATCTGTACAACAACTATACAAGCCCCAATGAAACCATTCTCTGCCTAGATTCTTACCAGAGCATGTACTCTCAGTTGCTCTGCGGCCTTTGTCAAAGCAAAGAAGTTCTTCGCGTTGGTGCAGTTTTTGCTTCTGGTTTCATTCGAGCAATCCAGTTCCTTGAAAAACATTGGAGTCTTCTTTGCAGTGATATTCGGACAGGAACTGTAGACTCTAAAATCACTGATGCATCCGTAAGAGAAGCTGTCTTGAAAATACTCAAACCAAACTACAAGCTTGCTGATTTTATTGAGGCAGAATGTAGTAAAGGGTCATGGAAAGGGATCATAACTAGGCTGTGGCCTAACACTAAATATATAGATGTTATAGTTACTGGAACCATGTCTCAGTATATTCCTACACTAGATTATTACAGCAATAGCCTTCCTCTTGTTTGCACCATGTACGCTTCTTCCGAGTGCTATTTCGGAATTAATCTCAACCCTCTAAGCAAGCCTAGCAAGGTATCTTACACCCTCATTCCCACCATGGCCTATTTCGAGTTCTTGCCAGTGAACAGGAAAAATGGGTTAACTGGTTCCATCTCTGAACCCGCATCTCTGAATGACAATGAAAAACAAGAACTTGTCGATCTTGTCAATGTCAAACTGGGACAAGACTATGAGCTTGTTGTCACAACATATGCAGGTAACCAAAATCAACCAGGCCTTGAAAACATTTTGATTCAATGCAGTATGGGTTTCTTTTTTTGCCTTTCTGAAAAGTGAAATCTTTTATGTTGCAGGTCTTTATCGTTATCGAGTTGGGGACATACTTCGTGTCGCTGGATTCAAGAACAAGGCCCCACAATTCAACTTCATATGCAGGAAAAATGTTGTTCTTAGCATTGATTCTGATAAAACCGATGAAGTGGAGCTACAAAATGCAGTGCAAAACGCTGCAAACCAACTTTTGCCATTTGAAGCATCTTTGACAGAATACACCAGCTATGCAGACACATCATCAATCCCTGGCCACTATGTGCTGTACTGGGAAATCAAAGTTAATGACGCAACTTTAATTCCTCCATCCGTTTTTGAGGATTGTTGCTTCGCAGTTGAAGAATCACTCAACAGCGTCTACCGCCAAGGGCGAGTTTGGGACAAGTCCATTGGGCCTCTGGAGATAAAAATAGTGGAGAATGGGACATTTGACAAGCTCATGGACTTTGCTCTTAACCAGGGTGCATCCATAAACCAGTACAAGACACCAAGGTGTGTCAAATATGTTCCCATCGTCGAGCTTCTGAATTCAAGGGTTATTTCAAGTTACTTCAGTCCAAAATGTCCTAGATGGACTCAGGGCCACAAGCAATGGAGCACTCAAAACTGAACAAGCTAATCATTGGGAAAGTGATAGGAGCTTTTATGTATGTTGTAAGTTTCAGGGACACGTGGGGATTAATTGAACAATTTTTCTGTGTTGAAAAAGGGAAAGAACGTTTAACTTCATCTCTTCACGTTTAGTGTGAATGGGTTGAAATTGTATAAATGTCATGTCTTCTTTCACGCCAAATCTGGTTCCCTGTTTAATTTTTGTACTACTTGCTTTTTCCCATAAATGCCCTCAACGTGGGCGGCTCTTAAGCAGACAAGAAATGTAAGAGAGGTGGAGTTTTCTTATGAAGTTCATTGGAATGTTATATTCTCCTCCTATAATTTAGATATAAGTTTGTTTGGATTGGAGTTTTTATAAGAAGTTCAATTTCAAGTATAACTGTTTTAAAACTTTATAAAAAAAAATTATCACTGTTTTATAGATTTTTAGAGGTTACAATCATATTAAACTATTTTATATACATAAATATATCATGGAATAAACAATTAGCAAATTCTAATATAACAAAACAATTAAACCGTCCATAAGCCTTTGGTCTAGTGGCTAAAGGCATTTGAGGAGATATCAAGGGTCTGATTTTCGAATCAGGCCTTTCCCTTCCCCTTACTTGTACTAGGGTTTTGCCATCCTGATGTAACTAAAAAAAAAAAAAAACAATTGAACCCACATATAATGACATTGGAATTTAAGACCTCAAGGCATTAAGACTTCCTACATGCCTTTAAATCAAAGTCTCATTGGCTACTATTTTAAAATATTATAATATTAAAATAGCATTTCGTAAACTTAATTTAAAAATCTCTAAAATATTAAAAACTTTTTAAAAAATGAAAAAGATAAAGTATTCAATTTTACTAAACTAAATCACAAGAGATATTTATGAATATGAATATAATAAAGAGATATTTTTGTTAATTAAAAATAAAAATAAAATCGATAAAAAAAATTGAACCAAATAAAAAAGATGAATACGAAATAATATAATCCTCCCTATATATTTATGAATTATTGAAGGGTGAGGTAAGAATGTAAGAAAATTTCATTAAATATATTTCTTACTATGTTTTAGCACTACTATTCATTAACACTTTTTTAAGATTTTTTTTTATTTACAACTTATCTAAAAGTTCAAAAAATCTTTCAACATAGGTTATAAATTTTTAAAATTGCGAACCAAACATCTTTTGCTTTTATAGTAGAAAAAACTCTTCTTTTAAACTTCTTGTAAGCTTAGTGGACACCCAAGATGAGACAAAACACCTTAATTTCATTTTTTATTCATCTCAATTTTTAAAAAAATCTCAACATGTTATCATATTCCTTTTAAAAAAACACTTATATTGGACTGATACAAATTGAAATTAATCGGATACAAATTATTTTATCATCCTACCTTCATTGATTTTTTTACAAAATTTATCTAGTTAAGAAATACAATTAAAATAAATTAAAAAGTGAAAATTTTAAAATTTAAAATATATATTTAATAAAAAATAAAAATAAAAAAATCTATTTTTGCAAGAAGGAGGTGCCACGTGCACAACCTCCTCTTCCTCTAATTTCGACAAAATTAATATTATGGATAGTTGAGTCAAATTCTTTGTTTGAAAATGTATGTTCATGATTGATCATCGTATCCATATAGCTTGGGCATACTAACCTTGTATTTGATATCCAACCTAACTCTACTAAAATTGTTAACACAAGTAAAGACAATTTGGCACCAACTAACCAATCTAATATAATAAGGTCATATTTCATGCATAGGATGATGAATAGGATAGTATAATTGTCATAACATATAGATTTGTAGATCTACTGCTAAACATAGACTTAGGAGTCGTTACTAATCTTTTTTGTTTAGGTATGATTGATCACCTAACTAAATCTGTTTCACCTTAAAAAGGAGTCTCAAACTTGATTTGAGTATGTTTAAAATGTAGATTCTAGTTTACGAAATCATATTTTAAATTTGAAAATATGGTTACATGTGAGGATAGTTACAGCACCCTTATTCAATCCATCCAAAAGATGGTACTAGTTTGATTTCAAATTATGCAAGCCATGAAGTCTTTTTGTAATTTTAAAAAGGAGTATCTTTTTGTAGTTTCACTTTAAAAAGAAGTCTCAAACTTGATTTGAGTATCTTTAAAATGTAAATTCTAGTTTATGAAATCAGATTTTAGATTTGAAAATATGGTTACACGTGAGGATAGTTACAGCACCCACATTCAATCTATCCAAAAGATGGTACTAGTTTGATTTCAAATTATGCAAGCCATGAAATCTTTTTGTAATTTTACCAAATAATTTAATTATCAAAAATTGATCTTAAAATTACTCTAATAGTTTGGCACCTCAAAAGTATTCATGGAGACAAATGTCCCACTCTAAAGAGGCTTTGTCGTCATATTCATTTGATTTTCTTGTAGAAAAACTTTCATTTGTGAAAATGAGATTTAGAACCTTAGTATTGAAAAATTCTCATCCAAATTCTTCAATATGTTGGTAAATCTTAAAAAAGATCCTTTCACCTAATAATTTACATAAAGATTACTATTTGCAACGCTTTTAGTAATTATATCATCAAAGATTCAAAACCTAATAAAAAATAATAATTTATTTTTAAAAATATCCTCTAATATATTGGTAAGATTTTTTATTAAAAAATTATCCTCAAATATGCTGGTAGGATTAAAAAATTATTTGTGCAAAAAAATTCTTTAAGCCCTCTATTAGTTTGGTAAGATCAAAAAACATTTTTTAAAAACATTTTTTTTTAATTTGAAAAAAAATCAATTAAAATAAACAAAAATCATCATGCAGATTAATTCAAATAACTATAATAAATATCAAAATAAAAAATAATATATAAAAAATATAAAATTGAAAAATAAAACAAAAAAATCAAAGCAAAAAATAAACAAAAAAAAGAAAAACCTGAGATCAAGTCAGATCTAGAGCATGGGTTAATGTGCGGGTTGCATGGGGTTAATGTGCGGGTTGCCAGGTTCATGCAGGCCAACCTTTTTGCCAAAAATACACTATTTCAATCATGAATAAAAGCCAAAAAAATTGGTTTGTTCTATAGAATACTTTGGTCATTTTTCTCTCTAAGCCCAAAACACTTTTACTTCTTTCTAAAATACCTTAATCGAAAACTTCAACCTTTTGTAAAAACCGGCCAAATTCCTAGATATTGGCACCGAAAAATTCAAATGGCATTGAGAAATTCAAGCCAAACTAGAACAACCTATAAACCCAGATTATGGCCATTACCTTTTCTTCCGATCATCATGAATCTCACTAAAAAACTCAAATATTTGATCGGATAATTCAACAAAACCAAAAAAAAAAAAAAACCAAAATTTGAATCTAAACCGAAAAAATTAAAAGAAATTTTTAAAACTTCCCATATTAGAATCAAGCCTAGAAATTATAGCCAAATTCCCAAAATCAAATTAAAAGAACAATAACCTAAAAATCAATGTTTTAAATAGATCCAAAAATACCAAAATTTGATTCAATCCCAAAACCTAAAAATTGGGATTTCCCATAGTGAATTCCCAGAACCAAAAGCAAACCCTAAGTTAAACAATTCTAGAAACTTCAAAGAAATTTCCAAATTAGCCCAAAAAATAGAAATCAATTAGAACTTATCACCAAACAAAAATCAAACCAAAATCCCAGATAAAGACAAAAACAAAAACTTCCAAAATTTTCCAAATTCCCCAAGAATCTTCAAAAGTCCTACTGCCAAGAAAAAATACATTTTCAAACTATGATTTTCTTGTATGATTTCCACCTTTGTTTCTCTCATGTGTTCAATTTGATTTTGTTCATTTATAGAGATTGAATCCCTTTCATTTTGGAAAGTAAATCGAATATGGGATTATGATTTTATTTGATTTCATGCATGTGATTTGATTTGATCGATTCCCAAAATCAAATTCAAACTGAATCCACATTTTTGTTTAAGGATTTCTGATTTCGTTCTTTTTTTTTTTTTTGGACTTTTGGATTCTTTTTTTGACTTTTTTAAAAGTAAAATTAAACAAATCAAGAAATCAAATTAAAATTAAAATTTTTACTATTAGGGCTGAAGCTTCCTAATCAAGCCCAATTAATCATCGAAGGCTCGTTTTCAGTTTTGAAAAAATTTTCAAACAAAATGCGGTGTCTACAGGTACCTCTTTTTACACAATTTCTGTGAAACAATAATTGCCTAAAGACAAAAGACATTTTTTTTGTTTAAGGATTTCTGATTTACAAATCAATAAATCAAATTAAAATTAAAATTTTTACTATTAGGGCTGAAGCTTCCTAATCAAGCCCAATTAATCATCGAAGGCCAGTTTTCAGTCTTGAAAAAATTTTCAGACAAAATGCGGTGTCTACAGGTACCTCTCTTTGCACAGTTTCTGTGAAACAATAATTGCCTAAAGACAAAAGACATTTTTTTTGTTCGAGTTCAAAAAAATAAAAAATTAAAAAAAAAAAACTTAAAATCCAAAGATTCACAATTTGAAAATTCAAGAATTCACAAATTTTCAAAGATTCGCAAAGCTTCATAACAAGAATTAAAAGATTTTAAAACTCGAAGATTCGTAAAAAGATTCAAAATTTCATAATGATCCAAAACTCATAAAGATTCAACATTCACAAGAATTTTCAAGATTTGCAATGATTCTAAAAGTTTGTAAATAATTTAAGATTGTAAAAAATCCTAGGATTTGTAGAGATTTCAAGATTCGTAAAGATTCTAAGATTTGTAAAAAACAAAATCCAATATTTGCAAAAATTTCAAGATTTTCAAAGGTTCAAGATTCGTAAAGGTTCCAAGTTTCACAAAAGTTCCAGATTCACAAAGTTTTCAATTTGCAAATGTTTCAAATTCACAAAAATTTTTAGATTCGTAAGAATGAAAGATTCACAAGAATTCAAATTGACAAGAATTTCATATTTGCAAGAGTTTCAGGTTCACAAATATTTAAAGATTCATAAAAACTTCAGATTTAAAAGAACTTCAAGTTCGTAAGACTTTTCATTATTATAAAGATTCGCAAACTATAATTCACATACAAGATTCAAAAAT